CCCAATCAAGAAGTCAACAAACTATGATGGATATGTATCATGAGAGAGAAATATCATGGACATTTAAAAAAAAATCAAAATGAATTGATGAAATAGTGATCAAGAAACCATTCATCTTGTTATTGATTTAAAAGGCTCAATTTAGCAGCATCAGCAAGCTTCCAATAGAGAGGTGTAACAACTATTAGACTTTGGTGATCACTTTATAAAATAGATTTTTTGAAATTTGACAGAATTTGAAGTAGGAGGTTATACATGATGTAAAAAAGTGCGTTTTATTATAGCAAAGCCACATCATCAACAATTTGTTTTGAAAACATTTATAAGCTGACAGGGAGTTGCGACCCTTACTCTCTGGTATAATTTCACAGTAAAATATTTGTGGAGCATTTTGTGTTTATAGAATCGATTCCAATTTGTGGGAGCAATGTATGATGACAATTGAAGAACATCAGTTGTATGTGTAGAACATAATATTCATGGATGAATATATTATATTCATAACGATTTTTTGTTTCTGTTTCTAGTTGAACATTTTGTAGGTTTTATTTCATAGACAACTATAAGTTCTACCTCTTGCAAGTGAAACATCAGATGAAGATTAGGTTGACTAAAAAGGCTGCACAAAAAGTTTGAGATGCTAATGCAGTGTTCTTTTCATGGATTTTATTGCTCATAGCATAGTTCACGGGAATTATACGCCAATTATGTACAACAAACATATTAGGCAACATACCTAATATAATTATTCTGTTACTTTCTCTGGTGTCTTCTTAACACCTAATTGTCCAAACAATGGAAGGTTGTGTAGATGATGAAGTGTTTTGAAATGTAGAGAATGTAGAAGTACTAACTGTATTCATCGTTTCTGTCCATTGGAATCTTCCAATCTTTGACATAACAAACCTTCCTCTAGGTATAATTTATTCCATTGTCTTTTGGCTGTATGGAGGGACTATTTATCATGATTTTTTTTCTATGTTCTTAATCCATCGAATAATTGGTTTCAAACTGTTATCTTTTGCCTGAACATCTTTCAGTCGAGTGTTGGACCACACTAGTTTTTTCATTATCTCCCGTGGATGCACCATCTTAGACTATATTTTGTTGTACTTATGGCTATCTTGCTTTTCTTTTTCACAATGTTCACATTTTTGTTAACACATGATCTTCAGGATAATTTATAATTACTTCCATGGTTCTGTTCAGGGTGATGCAAAATGTTAAATTTGTACAACTGAATATTAATCGGTTAAAATCGGAGAACCTCACGAATATCCCAGTATTTGCTAGACATCCTCTTTTTTTAGTATATAGAGATGCAGATAGATTGTAGATAGAAATAATTGAGTCAAGCGAGCAGTAGGCACCGTAAATAATGTGTGTGAATCGCTGTGAATTATAGCGTGTGTTTATAAAAGTAGTTAAGTTTAAAGTGACTGTGGAAATTAAGTGTATTACAAAGTTTGTAACAAGAAAGAATAATGTTGCGTCAGCGAGATCACGTGACTATTGCCACGCCACCTGCTTTCTAGAACTATCTCGTTCCTTCGGGAGTGCTCTAGCATTTACTAGATTGGGGAGTGGTCTGGTATATATAAGAGGGTGACAACGTGACGGAATAATGTGTGTGCAGGTAATGAGTAATTGAACTGCAGTCAGAGAGAGACGTATTGTTGAAGTTAACGTCGTTATTATAGTTTGTTAAAGTGCGACTGTTGAAAATAAGTGTATCGTAAAGTTGTATTCGGAAAGAATAAACCAGTTTTATTAAGTAAGGACTTGTGTCGCTAAAGTTTCGTCGGAAGGAAGTTACGGAAAATCAATTAACAAACGGAGACGTAACAATAAACTAGTTTTAATCAAGAAAGGACTTGTATCGCTGAAGTCACTCGAAAATAATTTTTACCGGAAATTATCAAACAAGCAGATACGTAACAATACGAGTATATACGCAGTTAACCATTGGTCATGTGACTACTTAGTTTACATACTGAATTAAAGAAGGTCGCTCTATCTGCATATTCTCTGACTTTCCAATCCTTCACAGAATTTGTGGCAAAAATAAAGCAAGTCGAAATAATGATGATATTGTTACGTCTCCGTTTGTTAATTGATTTTCCGTAACTTCCTTCCGACGAAACTTTAGCGACACAAGTCCTT